TATTACGAGCGAGTAACATTTCGGCATTCCGTTAACGGACGGCAACAACATTAAAATCATTATGTTAAATCTCTCGATAAAACATTTCCTGATTATTTACCTACGCCTTGTCTTTAGTCAAATGGACAATAATGTTTTTGAAGTTCAGTTTTTTCCATATCCATCGTGATCAGTTAGTATGATACTTCATCACACGAGCCGACCCACTTTTTACAAAACACACAAAATAACTTTTAAAAACAAAACATCTCTGTGCAGATTGCGTCCCGGTAAAGGGACAGTTCACTCAAAAATGATATGTACTCACGAATTATTTGCCCTGTAAATAATAAGTGATTCCAAACCTTTAAGTTTCTTTATTCTGTTGAAACCTAAAGACTGTAAGCATTTGCTTTCATGGTAGGAAAACACTATGGAATTAAATAGTTACAGTTTTCCAGCTTTATTTAATACATCTTCTTTATTGTTTAGCAGAAAAAAAGCTAAATAAGTTTGGAACAAATAAAGAATGAGACTAAAATGGCAGAATTGTCAGTTTTGGGTGAGCTATCCCTATAAGTTAAAGTATATAAATTGAGGTTCATATGCCTAATTAATATAGATAGTAATTAAAAGGTCTGCTAGTCTAAATTTCTATTTTGATTGGTCTTTTGATGTTTTATTTAAAACCCACTCTTCTCTTTGCTCAACAGGCTATTTTTACATAGAGGTAATCTTCTATTGATAATTTCTGGATTTTAATTATGCGTAAGTTGCATGAAACTATTGTTTAATCACTCACTGTTGTTTTCAAATTACTCGTGTAACTTGTCTTTCAGAATGTTTTCAGCTGTTGAATTCACCTCAGATCAGTGTTGCTGTAATTCCTGATGGAAAGAAGAATTGAATGAGGTAAGAAGTATACTATTCTATTTACTATTAAATGTAGTTATGTTACCTAAAACCGCATGTCCATAATGTGGAAAATAGATCATGCTTATGAAAAATTACTTTATTATTTTGTACAGCTGTTATTGAAATGACACTAAGTTTAACATTTCATTAACAGCGAGCAACGCCACAACTACAGGACCTCTTCTTTCTCTTCTCATAATTTACAGTAAGTAAGTATTCGGAGACTAACTCTGACTTCTGTTAACTCAAACCTGTTTTCCCTGTATCTCTAAATTTATTTAATTGTTTGTAATTTTGGTATATGATATATTATTAAAACATTAAAATAAAGTAGGCTACATAATTACTCTGGAGATTTTATATGTAATGAAATTACAATAAATGTCTGAAACTTCAATAACTTGCTAGTCATAGTCATTTACTGTGTAGTGCTGTTGTGTCAAGCTCTGATCTGTCCTCTCTTGCTCACTGCCTATTTTGACTTTTGTCTGCTGTGGATCTCTGAAGCTGGATTATCCGTTGAATTTGTTTCTTCCTCTGACTGCTTTCTCCATACCAACAACTACGACTGGTCTTCAGCTGCGCTCCCCAGTCTGCTGTATTCTCCAGTCCAGAGCTTCACTGCCCAGTGTCTGAATTTTAATTTATATATTTATTTATATATTTATTTACATTTTAATGATTTCTTGTTTACTTTTCTTGTTTGTTTACCCTTTAGTTTAATTATATATATATATATATATATATATATATATATAATCTAAACTTTATTTTATACTGTTTGCTTATAATTAGATACTGTATGTGTACTGTATGTATTAAATGTTGTGAAATATATAATAAAAAGTTTGATTATATTCATTTGTGTGGCATTTTTACACTTTAAAGTTTACACATGCAGTTTTTAAATTAAATAGGAAAAATAAATGAACAATATTTCATATTAAGCAATACTGGAAAAGAATTGCTGCTTATCCTGTATTCTAGGCAGTAATGATAAACTGCCACAAAAAATATTAATACAAGTAGTAAGAACGCCGCCTCGCGGTTGCTGAATGTCGCACGACAACGTTGCTACAGCCTTCTCACGTCTTACATTTCTACGTTGTGACAATGTAGCGAGCACGTAAGCGGCAACGTTGCCTTTGAAAAAATACAACGTTGTGCAGACATCGCTACAACGTAAATGTGTTTGTTGGGTACACTCTTACATTTCTACGTTGTGACAATGTAGCGAACACGTAAGCGGCAACGTTGCCTTTGAAAAAATACAACTGTAGGAAAGTCCTATACAGGGTTGCAGTTCTTATGAGTATACCCTAGATGGCGCACCTCTCTAATTTGACCGACATTCACTACTTTCGCTTTCAAGAGCAAGCACATGGCAAAAATCACTTGTGAGGCACGGTGAGAAGGCAAACATCTATCCTGTGTGCGTTCATGCCAAGAAAGTAAGTTTATTTACTGATTCCCACCAAAAACATGGGTAATACTTATGTTAATACTGTTGTAACAATATCTGTAATGTTGTATTTCACCTTTAATGCATATATTTGCATAATCTTATGTTATATGTTCATCTGTGTTGGGAAGCTAATATGCTAGTCCAAACTATTTATGCCATAGTATGTTTCCTTGTTGGATTAATGTTTATATTTTGACACATGGTGTAATGTTGAGTCATTTCTAAACACTACAGTTTGACAGTGAATTTATTCCTATACCTAAAGATTATTTTCTGTTGTAATCTAAATGGAAATGTTTGACTGTTATTTGTTAATTGCTAAACCTGTAATATTTTATTGATACTTAATTTGTTCTATTTTATGTTCCAGACCACACACACACACACACACACACGTACTCACTCATTAAAGCTATTTTTGGATGAAACTCTCCGAGCCCTTTACTCTCTTACCGGAGTCTCCAGTTTTCAAGGACTATCAGAACATTCCAGAGGTTCCACCTCAACAACAACGTTGTGCAGACATCGCTCCAACGTAAATGTGTTTGTTGGGAGTACACCTTGTATTTACATTTGAGTGAAATGTTTGCATATATTGTAACAAATGCGGGAAAATAATGTGCATAAAACTTGTTCCTATTAAACTTCCCCCACAGAGTGGTCTCTTACCTGAAAAAAAGCCGGTTATGACTCCGTTGTTTCGTCTTCTGACTGAGGCGGAAGTAATTTAGTATTAGTTTACAGCGATGAGGATCCAAGATGGTGTCCTGCTAAGTCTACTTGTGTAGTGCTCTGCTGACAAACTCACCTTTAACAGCTAAACAAGAAATATCTTACTTTAAAGTTACCTCTCACAACTTTAAAAATGAAGTCAGCGGCAGATAAACGGAAAGGAGGAGAAACATCGCGTGCTTCACGTATCTCTAGCCTTATAGAAGGCCACAGCTATGCTGCTCACGGAGATAGCCCTTTACTTTCACCGCTACCTGGGAGCCCAGATAAACCGCCATCAAAGAAAGGTAGAGCAGATGACGATGATTCTGTAATCTCCACGCTTTCTCAGCTAATAAATAACCGATCGGATGCCCTGGAAAAAATGGTTGGGGACTGTTGGCGCAGCCATTTTCGTGTATGGTAACCGGTAATAATCTTAATTACACGGAGGTAAAATAACTCACATCTCTCCTCTGTTTTCTGCTGAACCGGAATACATTTATTTGCATATGTCCAAATATGGGAAGCAGGTAACACATGACATGACAGTCTGAGGGCACATCCAATAGTAACGCTAACACCCCCACTTGCACTCATACTGTACAGTATACAAACTGTATATGGTAACACAAATGTTCGATTTACATACCAAACAAAAAACCTTTGAATTTTTCCAGCTTAAACTTTGTCACTGGTTTAGTCATGACATCGGCTACCATGTCTTCTGTGGGACAGTACTCAACAGTCACTTTTCCATCGCTCAGTGCCGATCGAATGAAATGATACCGTACATCCACATGTTTGCATCTTTGACGGCACACTGGATTCTTTGATAGTGCAATGGCACCTTGATTGTCCTCAAAAATCTGTACAGGCATATACATGCAGTCATTTTCCATACTGTCCAATAACTGTACAAGGTACATGCTTTCTTGTGTGGTTACAGTCAGTGCCATATACTCTGCCTCGCATGTCGATAGAGCTACTGTGGACTGTTTCTTTGACTTCCATGAGATCAAAGGACCATTTGCAGAAAGGCTGAAACAATACCCTGTTGTGCTTCTTCTGTCATTTAGATCTGAGGCAAAATCAGCATCACAATATGCCACAAGTTTAAGTTTTTCATCACTTTTCTTGTAACATAGCTCCTGATCAATTGTACCCCTCAAGTACCTCATAACATGTTTAACCGTAGACCAGAGCTGTTCGTTTGGTTTGGACAAATACTGTGATAGTTTACTAAGAACCCAACTTAGATCAGGTCTAGTACATGTCATTAGGTAGATCAAACTACCTACTGCCTCACGATACCTTTTAGGATCAATAGGATCACTATCACTGTCGTAATCCAATTTCAGCTCACATGGTGTTGATCTGGGTTTACAGTCTAACATATTGAATCTCTCCAGTATTCGCAATATGTATCTTTTCTGGTTTACCCTTACAGTTCCCTTACTTTGATCGAAATCAATTCCCAGAAAATGTTTGAGCTTTCCCAGATCTTTCATTTTGAATTTTGATGTCAGCATTTCTTTCACATCCTTCAGTAAACTGTTGTCACTAGCAGCTATGATGAGATCATCTACCCAGATTATTATGATCACCCTGTCTTTACCACTTCGCTTACTGTACACACAGTAATCAGCCAGATTCTGTATGAAATCATTTTCAGTGAGATACACATGTAACATTTTGTTCCAATTTCGTCCTGATTGTTTTAAACCATACAGTGATTTGTTCAATTTACAGACTAGTTTATCACCTCTGTTTGATTTGACTTCAAATCCTTTCGGCTGCTCCATGTAAATCTCACAATCTATTGGAGCGTGTAAGTAAGCCGTTTTCACATCCATTTGGTGAAGTTCAAGATCATATTGTGCTGCCATTTGCATTAAGGCTCGAATTGATGTGATATTTGCTGTTGGTGAGAAAGTCTCTATGTAATCTACACCCATCACTTGACTATAGCCCTTAGCAACATATCTGGCCTTGTATGTCTCTGTCTCATCTATATTACTCTTAATAGAGTAGACCCATCTACCCCCCACTGCATGTTTACCTTCTGGTAGTGTAGTTAGGGTAAATGTATTGTTTTCTTGTAGTGAGCTAATTTCATCTTCCATGGCCTTAACCCACATCTTAGACTCATTGGAATTCATAGCTTCCTCAAAAGTCTGTGGTAAATCGCACATTCTGTAACAGTAATCAACATTAGTAAGAATCTGATCATCACTCTCCACATCAGATACATAATCTGTCAAATACTGTGGGGCTCTCCTATTTCTCTTAGGATAACGTGCGCATTGTTCACCACTCTCAGTTTGAGCACTACTCTGACTCTCTGTCTCAGTTGTCTTTTCTGGCGTCTCATTAGTAATGTTATGTGTTGACTGGGGAGATACATATCTCTCTCTATGAGAATCATCATCTGACATTGTGATTTCTGTCTGTGTCTGATGATCAGCCACACATCTTGTTATGAATTTCACAAGTCTGTGCTTCAGAACTTTTCCTGTGTCTGGATAATAAATCAAATATGCAGGGCTGTATTTATCATATCCTACAAAAATCCCTTTTTCACATCTAGCATCCAGCTTCTTTTTGTCGTGTTTGTATGCGTAGCATACTGAACCAAATATTCTCATTTTAGAGAGATCAGGCTCCTTCCCAGTCAATGCATAGTATGGGGTTTGGTGTATACGGCTATTGTAGCACCTGTTGCGAATTACTGCAGCAGTCATTACCGCGTAGGTCCACAACATCTTGGGCAGGCCACTCTCTAAGATCATGCATCTTGCCATCTCAAAAAGTGTTCGCCAATTTCTCTCGGCAGTCCCATTTTGATGGGGCGAATATGGCGCTGAAGTCTCATGGCGTATACCATTCTTACTTAAAAGAGACTGAAACTCTTTTGCTGTGAACTCTGTTCCATTATCTGACCTAACACACTTTATGCGCCCATAAGGTGCTGTGTCAGCAATGAACTTTTCAGTTGCTCTTGCAGTGTCACTTTTAGCTTTTAAAAAGTAAACAAATACTGCACCAGAGTAATCATCAGTGAATGCTAAAGCATACTTGAAGCCGTCTTTAGCTTCTGGGTCAATTGGACCAGCTAGATCTGTGTGCACTAGTTCGAGTGCAGCTTTAGCTCTTGTATCAGGCTCCCTGTTTCGGCTCTGTACAAATTTACCCTGTGTACAAATCTCACAATTTAAATTAGATTTATCAATCTTCCCTGTTATTTTCATCCCCTTCACTACATTTTGCAATTTGGAAATGTCTTCATTATTGCAGTGCCCAAGAATTTCGTGCCAGGTTTGGATATCATAACATGAGTTACAACTATCAGTATCACCATCTCCATTAGCAGTGTTCAGATAATACAGTCTATTGTACTCATGTATGCTAAATTTTGTACCGTCCTTATGAGTCAGTTTGTCTTGTCCTTGTTGAAAGCTGATCGAAGCTCCGTTTGTTGTTGCTGCTTTAACAGAAAAAATGTTTTGTGGATACGATGGTATATATAAGGCGTTCTTTAGTATCGTTTTCACTTTATGTCCCGCGCTGTCAATCAAGTGCACCTCTGCGTCACCTCTTCTCTGCGCAACTCCACTCGCCTTTGTTCCGTCCGCCAACTCAATGTAGTGTTTCTCCGGTTGGAATTTGTCATCAAACTGTTTGAATTTCTTAAGATCAGTAATGATATGCGAGGTTGCGCCAGTGTCGACCATCAGCCCTTTTCGCTGTATTTCGTATGATCTGTAGTCACTGGCTTTGAAGATAAATGTGTGTTCCTCATCATCGTTCTTGTCGCTAGCCAGTTTAATATCATCTCTCCTTTTTCGTCTACAGTTCTCGTCTTTGTGTGTTGAGCTTTTGCAGTAATTACACCACTGTCGTTTGCAGTTTAAGGCTGGGCATGTACGCATTTTGTGCCCTTTCTGTTGGCAGTTGTAACACGTAATGTCCGAGTATGCGAGCCCTTCTCTCCCCTTGCGTCCCGAGGGGGAGGCATTTGCTTTCATTACGTTATCTTCACTGGCGACACTGTGGAAGTTTTCAGTACTCTCAAAATTTCTCAGCTTCGTTTTAAACTCAGCAAACGTTATTTCTGTATCACTCTGTGTGATATGTATTGCAAACGGTTTAAACGAGTCCGGCAAACCTTTCAAAATCATCGCAATTAGAAGTCCATCACTAAGGGTTTCTTCTGCATTTCTTAGTGCTGTGATTGCGGTTTCAGCTCTTATAATATAGTCTGTGACACTCTCACTTGGTTTCTTTTGTAAAGAAGTTAACTCGGTATACAGAGAAATGATTCGCGGCTTCCCTTTGCCAGCATAGTAGGCCCGTAAAATCCGCAGAGCTTTCCTACCGTCATCCGCGGCATCTCTCATGACAAGTGACAAACTTTTGTCATCCAGGTACTGGATTAATTCTGCATACGCTTCTTCATTTTTATCAGGTCCTTCATCATCATCAGCATGTGCGGAGGCCTCTGATAGCACCGTCTCTTTCAATCCTAGCAACCGCATGTGTCCTAAAAACTTTGTTTCCCAAAGTTCATAGTTTTTCTCATCTCCGTCGAAACACAATCTATTCCATCGGTTACTCACATCTCTTCTGGGCCCATAACCTGTTGGCGCAGCCATTTTCGTGTATGGTAACCGGTAATAATCTTAATTACACGGAGGTAAAATAACTCACATCTCTCCTCTGTTTTCTGCTGAACCGGAATACATTTATTTGCATATGTCCAAATATGGGAAGCAGGTAACACATGACATGACAGTCTGAGGGCACATCCAATAGTAACGCTAACAGGGACAATGCGTTGAAAATAGAAGGGCTAAAAAAAACTGTTGACTGTATATGTGCCGAGCTCAACGACGTTAAAGGGAAGGTTGGCCTTATTGAAGCAAGAGTGAGCTCTGA